TTAATAAAGGGAACTATTCTTGTCCAACTCTAACAGTGGATGTTCATGCTAAATGATTGATGCAGCTCGCCCTGGAAATTGTAGATAAGTCGAGAAAAGCTAGCACAGCCTCCCTAGGTCAGTTATCTTTGGAAGCATGCTTCCTTTCTGCTTCCTGAGATGTGTTTCTGCAGATAATTGGGGAGATCACACAGAGGGAGTGCAAAGCAGTGGAAAGGACTTCGAGGTGGGGGGGAAGTGCTCGGACTTAAGCTTCAGAGGGAGGGCTTGGAGAGCATTGCTCTTGTGGTGACTCTGACCCCCCTCCCACCCCCCACCCTACGCTCTAGAGCATAAATCTCCCACGTTCAATTTCCCCACCTGCAAAATGGGAACAAAAGTCCAACATTTACTCAACAAAATACAGCCATACATTTCTAACATTAGAGCTGGTGCTCATGTCAAGTTTCAAGAGCTAATGCTATCACTGCTTTTGAAAGACTAGCGCAGGGATTGGCAGTCTGTGGCCTGCGGTCCAAATTTGCCTTGCTGCTCGCTTTTACAGATAAAGTTTTATCGGCACACGGCTCATTTGTTGACCTCTTTTCCATGGCTGCTTTTGAGCTACAGTAGCAAATTTCGGTAGTTGCCACAGAGACCGTGTGGTCTGCAAATCCTGAAGTTAAGTTTACTCAGCTCCCTGACCGAAAAAGTTTGTCAGTCCCTGAACTCTGTAGACTATTATGATGGACACTTTGCCCACGAAAGGGCTTTCTGTATTTTCTTTCTGTAGGCACAGCGGCCCATGGTCATGATGGTGACGTATAACACAGCTAGAGGTGTGGCATGTGTAGGTGTGTATTTTAGAGCCTCAACTTCCTCTTTCTGCCCTCCTTTTCAGTCTCCTGACTCTGCTGCCACCCATTCCTTGAATGACCTTGGACAAGTCACTTTCCCTCTGTAACCTGAAGACCTTCACCAGTTTCTAAAAAAACGTGCCAAGTAAATAAATCGCAGAATCCCTTAGGGCTTTATTAAAATGTAGAGTCTTTATATTTTTTTCACATGCAGACTTCCAAGTAGACATTTCAAAATTTGAATGCAATTAAGACATCGTGCAAACCGAAAGAAAAGATTCTGTGATTCAGCAAAGGGAATATATTTTCCTTCGTAATGTAGGGAGCCATCACACGAGGCAGGGAATGGCTTGACTATGGGAACTTTCGGACTGCAAACGAAATCCTTCAGGTTAGAGAAATGGGACAGGCTGCCTCTCACCTGACATCTATAGGAAATAAATGGAGAAATGAATATTTGGTTTACAGAGGAGAATCAGGGCAGTAACCAGACAATCTCTGCAACTGCCTTTTGCTTCATAATTGAACTGTGATCATTTTAGGGGTGTCTCATCTTGCTAATGGAAGTCCACCATCTTGACAGTGTAAATTGTCGGAAAGGGCTTTCCGTTTCAGACAATGTCAGGCAAATACAAATTCACATATTGGAAAGCATGATTTCCTCATAGGTCATTCTCAGGAATTATGTTGTTGCATGTTTCATAATGTTTCATCCACGAGATGACGTTATTCTGGGTCATTATGATCACATCCAGGGTGTGATCAGGTTTTCCAGGGCAGTAAGTATGTACCAAATGGAGTAGCTGAGGACACGGGCGAAATACCCAATATTACACTTGGATTTCTTGAGAAGAGGAGATGATTTTGAGCTCTTCCTGTGCACCTAGAATAAGTGGAGAATTCACGTAACTACTTATTTTCAGCATACAGACATTCAGGTGCATCGCTGAAGACATGTACTGCTACGCTCATCTTTACATACTGAGATTGTTCCTTGCCTTGAAGTGATGATTAGCTTGCAAACTAGTTTCCCTCTCGGAAAAGTCTGTAGCTCCTTTTTCTAGGTAACAGTCGGAGTCCTACCGCAGAGGAAGGGGGATTGCTCGGAGTCTCTTATTGCAAGCCAGAAAGAGCCTCCCCTTTGATTTTGTAGTTCACTTCACGGTCTTGTTGGGATTCACCCATTCCGGTTGACGGGGTTTAAAACTGGCACTGAAATACCACCTTACAAATTAAAGCCAACAGTTAGGAAATGTGTTTGTTATCCACCCATCTACTCATTTAGCGACGATTTCCCGAGTGCCTACTACGTGCTAGGCCCTCTTCTCAACGCCGGGAATACAGAAGGGAACCAAACAGATAAAAAAGATCCTCCCCTCATGGAGCTTTCGTTATCGTGAGTGGAGGCAGACAGCAAAGTGCATAATAGGTCAGGTGGTAATAAGGGCTGTGGGAGAACAAGAAAGCGGGAGGAGGTCACGGTGAACGCTTTCTCGGTGGCAGGAGGAAAGAGTAGCTAGCTGTTTTGAACAGGGTGGCTTCTGGCAGACCCGCAGTGGGTGAGGAGCCCGCCGTGGGGAGACGTGGGGGAAGGCATATAGGCAAAGCCAGGGGGAAAGCCTCAGCCTTGTGGTTGTCCTCTCTGAGAAGTCGCACGGGAGCCATGTGGCTAGAGCAGAGGGGTCGGGTGGGGCTGGGGAAGGATCTGGGAGCGAATGTGAGGCCAGGATGTTTGGGAGACTGCAACACTTTGCCTCTAACTGAGCCGGGAAGCCTGCAGCACAGTAGCAATGAGACGTGGTCTGTGCAGTAAAGAATCCCACGAGTGCTGTGGTGAGAGCGAGTGTTGGTAGGAGGTCTCTGCAATAACGGGGGAAAGATGGTGGTGCCTCGGTGCAGGCAGTGGGGAAAAGCCGTCAACTCTGGATGTAGTTTGAAGTCAGTGCTCCCAGGTGTCGCTGAAGGGACATGAGAGCACCAGAAGTGTGTGACCTCAGGGTTTTCAGTCTGGTTAGGCGGAAGGAAGGGGTTTCCATTTACTGAAATGGTAGCCCGTGTGGTGGGCTGACAACGATGACGATTTGAGTGCTGGACACATTACTTTCGAGTTGGCTCTGAGACCTCCACGTGGAGCTGACAGGAGAACCATCGAATGTTGGACTCTCCGTTTGGGGCAAAATCTCTCTTGGAGACATACATCTGAGAGTCAGCGGCACAAAGACTTTAGGTAAAGTTGGGACCGGATGAGATCCCTAGCAAGTGCGAGTACACGAGAGAGAAGAGGGAGGTCCCCGAGTTCAGGGGCTGGGTGCTGTCCTGTTTAGAGATGGTGGCATGGGGACAAACCGGGCGGGGGCGGAGCGCGAGAAGAGAATCCGTGTCCTGCGGGACCAAAGGGAAATTTGGCAGGGTGGTGTCAAGTGGAGACTATGACTCAAAGAGAGGGTGCTGATGAGCGGTGTCACTCCATGTGGATGATGGCAGTGGGGCTTCTCGGCGGCTCTGGTGAGCCAGCACCACAAGGAACCCGGTGCTTCCCCTGCCCAGGCTAAGGGAAACCAGCGTCTTCCAGCTTACGCACAAGTGAGTCATGTGCACACCTCCTGCTTTCTGGCCATCGGGTGCAATCCTTTTCAAGTTGTAGCCTGCACATAGATCATCTGCTTCAGAATTACGTGTGCATTTTACATCGAAAATAGCTTACACAAAACCTATAAATACATATTTATATAAATACACAAAACATATACATACAGGGGCCCCACTGGGACTCGCCGCATCAGCGCATCCCAGTGTATGTCTTGGGCGCTCCCAGAAGGTTCCTGAAGTTGACTGTTGCAGAACCACCCTATCGACAGTATCACGAAACGTGCTCTGGATTAGGCACTTACCTGAAAAAGCCACTACGAAATGTTCTCCTTTTTAAAAACTAAGCAGTTAACCAAACCTCCAGTCCTTCCCTACATATCTCAGAGAAAACAAGATATCTTTAAAAATAATTCATGTTTTCATCATTCCCAAATCACAAACGGTCCTGACAGTAAAAACACGGGTATTTTTCCCTCGGTCTTCTTCATTTATATCAAGTTAGATGTAACTGCTTTGCACTTCTGATGCAGATGGTATTATAATTCGAATTCTTGACAGCATTTTTCTGGGAAGACATCTTCAAACAAAACCATCTGTAAATAATTTGTGGTGAGCGGCATCTACACTTGCTCACTTCATGGCAGAGAATGAAGGGAAGACCGTCTAGCTTGTGCGTATGTAGTCATCTTTGTTATATATATTTAAAATGGAGATTTGTAGGGTAATAATTCCAGAGCCTAGTCTGTCTCTTGACAGCTGAGAAGGTTTTGGTTTATGTGACAAGCCAGAAATGGTGAAATTACAAAAATGGATGTTATCCGTATGTCATCCAATTTGTAATGTAGATTAAGAAAAAATGCTTTATTTTTGCTGATCTCCCTTGTTGCTCTTGCTGAAGCAAAGATCAAAAGCTACAGGGCCACTAAGATGAAAGCAGTTACTTGTGAGAGCAGGATTTCTATCTTTTTCTTTCCAGAGTTTTCAAAGGCAGGTCTCCTTTGCTGACCTATTTAATGTCAACCAGCCTAAATGGAATTTTACCATGTTTTCTTTCTTTCTTTTTTTGTTTTTTTGAAGATTTTATTGACTTGATAGCGTGCGAGCGGGGAGGGGCAGAGGGAGAGGGACAGGGAGAAAGCATCCCAGGCAGACTCTGTGCTGAGCGCAGAGCCCGGCATGGGCTGGATCTCGTGACTGTGGGACCGTGACCTGAGCCAAAACCAAGAGTCCGATGCTTAACCAACTGAGCCACCCCGGTGCCCCAAATTTCACCATGTTTTATACAAACTTACCCATTTCTGTACAGTGAAAATTTAGCTGGGTTATCGTGGTTATGTAAATGCCTACCAGGAGCCTTCTGGATTACAAATATGGCCCAAACAAATGTATCTTACTGTTTTGTAGTCTGTATTTTCATTTGAGGCTTACAGAGGGGGTTGTATTTGTTTTCAGCTTTTCTGCACGTAAAGGGCAGTGCTCACGTGTTGACCGTGCAGTCATTAGCCATACAAGGATATGGGTTTTGTTGTCACCTTGGTACTTGAGTATGTGGTTTGTCTTTCTCCTGGATTTCAGATCCATCTGCACCGCCCGCACCGGCCAACCTCCGGCTTGCAAATTCTACTGTAAACAGTGACAACACCGTGACCGTGGCTGTGGTTTGGGATCTCCCCGAGGAACCAGACATCCCTGTGCACCACTACAAGGTGTTCTGGAGTTGGACGGTCAGCAGCAAATCCCTTGTCCCCACAAAAAAGAAGCGGAGAAAGACCACGGATGGGGTAAGTAGGCGCGAGAAGAAAGAGTGGCGTCTTCTTGCACGGTGTACTTGGACTCAAGGCGACAGATCGGAGGGTGGCCTCTGCTGAGCTCAGGGAAAGAATGGGTGAAAGAAAGCTTCCCATCCCTCTTTTTGGGCTGAGGAAGTACAGAGAATGGAGGGCCAGTCCACAAGTTTTGCCTTTGGCATTTTAGGTGAAAAAAGCTGAATGTAGCCCATCGACGTACTCCTATCCAAATGGCAGCCACAACTCCAGGAGAGGAACAGAAATCATTTTGTCTTGACTGTCCAGTCATAGAAAATAATAGAACTCAAAATGTCTTTTACATTTACATCTTCTTTGCTTTTGTTTGAGATCCTTATAAATCGACACGCAAATGTCTGTGTCTTTCCTGTCACGGGGGATTTTCCTCTGTAAGCTAATCAGCTTAGAAAATGCATGTTTGACAATATATTGTTCTCATTGATTAAAAGAACTTGGAATTGTTTATTTTCCAGATGCCAAGAAATAAAGTCTCCACTGAACCATTTTCTGAAATGAGATTTCTATGAGAGTGAACATTTGGCATTGTATGAAATTTTTAGTGCAGAAAAAGGAGTTCCTCGGTTTCCTTTATTGTTAGAAAACTTACATAAACAACTTCCCCCTAATTTATAAAGCTGAATTCCATAAAAAATACATGTTTGAAAATATTTTTTTAAAAAGGATAACAAGACTTTTTTTGGGGGGGTGGGCAGTGAAGATTCCGATTTCTGTGCCATTTAGAATTCTAAAACGTGTCAAAAAGTCCATATCCTCGATACTTAGCTGATGCCTATTTTGGTTTTATTTTTAAGAAACTCTCTGACAGTCCCGTTCTTTATTTTCATGGACTTCACAATAAGCGGTAATTGGCAATGCCCGGTTATGTCATAGGCAGATTTAAAGGAGCTCAGGTTGTGGGATCATAGGGGTCGGAAGCAAAATGTGACCTGTGCAGTGGTTACAGGGTCTGCACGCACGCACACACACAGACACGTGCACACACGCATGGATGCTATCAGTCAGCAGGCGGCATCACGGGTTACTAGGAAACTTTGCAGTGTATTTCTAGTCTATATCCATTAGATAAATAAAACTTGAACTGCAGATTTTCTTGAAGTCATTAATAGGCCAGATCAGCCAAAACTGTAGGTCACTATCTTATGAGTGACTTACATTTTTGGATCCACTGTAGGCAAGGTATAGGTCCTGTGGACCCCTAAATTCTCAATGTTAAAATCTGACCAATTGAGATTAGGATTAGGAACTGGAGAAATCCAAAAGAACATGAGAAATTATGAAATTTCCTTTTTGGGGATCAATACGTTCCCATTCCCTAAGATACCATTCTAATATCCTTGGTAAATAAGAAGAGAGGGGGATTTTTCAAGGGGATGCTCTTTCAAAAGTGCATTTTCTTTTACTCAGGAGGTAACAGTTTGAGGAGAGTGATAAGCCATCCGACAGGAAACCCCCAGTAGAAGAAAGTGAGAATTGGTAGTTTCTGCAGACACACTATCAGAGAAGTAGACGGTCCACCACGAGGCCCCGAGACCGTTTTTCTGTGGCGGTACCGGGGGCAGAGCTCGGGCCCTGCCTCCCTGCGGAGAGGTAGCCACAGCCTGGCGTCTGATGCTCAGACTTCCAGCTCTGCCATCAGCCTTCCAGAGCCAAACAGATGACGATGGCCGAGGTCTGATCATTCACCCCTCAAATGCCCGAATCATAAAGTGAAGCCATCTATAATTTACAGTGAGCGTTAATGCTCACGCTTCTGACATGCCCATGAAAAGCCTGTTCTCTCTCTTTTTTTTAAAAGATTTATTTATTTTGAGAGAGTGAGAATGAGAGAGAGAGCGAGCACATGAGAACGGGGAGGGTTAGAGGGAGAAGCAGACTCCCCGCTGGGCAGGGAGCCCGATGCGGGACTCGATCCCGGGACTCCAGGATCATGACCTGAGCCGAAGGCAGTTGCTTAACCAACTGAGCCACCCAGGCGCCCGAAAAGCCTGTTCTCTTGCTGAAAAGAGATCTCACAAGACCTGAAATGATGATCAGAATGTTACCAGGTGACTGTGGAACTTAAACACAGGAGTTACTTACGTGACTCAGTGTTTGATGATTCCAGATGATACCCTTCCTGCAGCAAGGACACTGCACACAAAAAACTGGGAATACTCTCTACTGGGAAGTGCGTGCTGCCGGTGGCCTGCCGTTTGGAGTTGTGTTACCGGTGGATACTTCCTGTCCTTCGTAAATGTCAATACCACCACCTAGACTGTTTCTTGGCGAGCCTTATAGTCAAGGAGCTCTTGAATCTCATCACACGCATGATAGTTTGACAAATGTTTGCATGGTAAGACACACGACCTGATTTTTCTTCGTTACAAGTTCTTGCAAGGGCGTTTCCTATCCTGTTTTCCTGTAACCCTTGAAAAAGCACCAGACTCAGAGTTATCAGACTTGTGCTCCTGTCTCAGAGCCTCGATCAGACACCTGGTTTGCTCCGATGTGTCACTGGGTCTCTCAGTGTTTAGTAGAATTCCTGTCTGGCCTCCAGCTTCACTTAATGCTGCAAATCACACACACACACACACACACACACACACACACACACACACTTGGATGAGTGCTTGGTATTAACAGTAATGATGACAAAAAAAATCTTAAAGCATTTTCTTAGGATGATTTTTCTTACTACTTTTGATTGAAAGTCACTCAGAGAAGATTTAAAAAGAAATAGTAAAGAAGTAGTGAATGTCAATTCATAATTTTTCCAGGTATGTGCCAACATGAGCTTCTGTCCGGTTATGACAAACCCGTCTCTTTTCTCCGTGAAGTGGTGTCTAGGATGGGAGGTGACAGAATTACTCATGTCTATAGTATCGGAGAGGATCCAGTAATTAGGATAAGGAACCGTTTCCAAAATATATGTTTGGCCATTCTATAAAATTTATCTGGATGCAGAGTAAAACTGCATTTTCAGATGCTCAAGATGAGAATTGTGTGACCTTAGAAAATGAAGGCATACGTCGGGTAGAGGTGGATGTGTGCTTCATGAGGACCATCTGGCTTTGGGATGAAGAGGGGACAGGCAGGGCAGGCTTGTAATGGGCTTGGCGCATCTTGTCTTCCTCTGCAGTCCCAGAATTCTGTGCTTCTGGACAGACTCCAGCCGGACTATGGCTACACCGTGGAGCTGCAGGCCATCGCATACTGGGGGCAGACGCGCCTGAAGGGGGCCAAGGCCTCCCTGCACTTCATGCCCATGCACGCCACCAGCCGCAGTAAGTGCCTTGTGCTTGTTGTCTGGTGAGCATGAAAGCCAGCACTTGCCCGAGAGAGGGGCAGCGGGGGGGGGGGGGGGGGGGGGCCGGCTCTCACCTGGAATCGTGACCTCGTAAATCTTGCGGGCGGTAAACCTACAATGCCGAGCTAGATGACCTCTAGAACGACCGTGCGTCAGACACTTTCCCCTTTGAAGTTTCTCTTTTGATTTTTAGCCACTGAATATGCAGTATTTTGGTGTCATAATGGAAATTTAACAAGAAAACTTAGGTCTCCTAAAAACGTGACAGGTGACACACCCATTTTCACGGGTATTCCCCAGCGCTCACCATCCCTTCATATTCCAGTTAGTAAGTTATTCCCATATTGATTTTCCTAGTTTCCAGTTTTCCTAAACTAGTATGTTTGCCACAAACCGTGCAAAGCAAAAGGAGAGTCTTACATGGCACTCCTATCTGAGCCAGAAAATAAGTCCCTTTCTTGTTTCTGGCTTTGCTCACAAGAGGGGACAGGTTAGAGCCACAGTGGAGAAGTGCCTGGCAAGCTTTCCGGGAACGGGGCAGATGAAAGGGGCGTGTGATGTCGATTCCCTTCGAGTAGAGCCCCGTGGTGTCTGCCTTTCATCATGGGTCTGGTGCAGAGGTTAGAAGAATGGGCTAAAACCTTGTCTGAATTTCGGAAAGGCGAGCCTTGCTATGCAGAATTAAACGCAGTCATTGCTTGTAATTATCTTCTACCACCTGCGAAACATCGGATCAGAATGAGCAGGTCTGTTTGAAATGATGCTTTCAAAAAAGTCCTAGAAACAGAGCTTCCTTACCTGCTTGAGAAACCGTCTCTTTGGAGATTAAATGTATTTGAAACAGTCGACGATATCTTTGTATGAGTCTGGGTAGAACACAGCTTTTACCTAAAACTTCTCATGGAAACTTTTCTATATGTTTAGCAACTTATACTGACTTTTCAATCCTGTCATCTAGCCATTCCTCAACCTGAAATGTAGGGCTGTGAATTATGACATGACTGTGTCAAATGATGGGGATACTTACTGTGTTAGACTCTACTGTATGATAAACACAGGTGCACTACATAGTGTGTATACCTCATAGACCGAGTGTACACGATCTAGTGTATATGTGCCATGTATTTGTGTATATGTGCTTGTGCGCGCATGTCCCCAAAATCCAGACACATACACGTATCCACACACGCACACACAGATACATGCATACGCATGCATGCGCACACGCACACATACACAGGCACACACGCATACACACACACGTGCACACATACAAAATGCACACATGCATACGCACACATGCGCACACACATACGCACACACGCATACACATGTACACGTGCACACATACAAAACGCACACAGATACATGCATACGTGTGCACGCACACGCATGCACACACACATATACACGTGCACACATATACACGTGCACACATACAAAACGCACGCACACGCACACATGCATACACGTGCACATACAAAACGCACAGGCACACAGATACATGCATATGCATGCATGCACACGTGCACATGCATACACATGTACACACACACATATACACGTGCGCACATACAAAACGCACATGCACAGAGATACATGCATACGCATGCATGCACACATGTGCACACGCAGAAATACGCACACATACAAAACGCACAGGCACACACAGATACATGCATACGCATGCGTGCACACATACACATGCACACACGCATACACATATACATGTGCACACATACAAAATGCACACGTAC